TGTGATACTACTGTACATGTTAGCAGTATGTGATACTACTGTACATATTAGCAGTATGTGATACTTGACTGTACATGTTAGCAGCCTGTGTTACTTTACTGTACATGTTAGCAGTATGTGATACTACTGTACATGTTAGCAGCATGTGATACTACTGTACATGTTAGCAGTATGTGATACTACTGTACATATTAGCAGTATGTGATACTTGACTGTACATGTTAGCAGCATGTGTTACTTTACTGTACATGTTAGCAGTATGTGTTACTTTACTGTACATGTTAGCAGTATGTGATACTACTGTACATGTTAGCGTCATGTGATACTACTGTACATGTTAGCAGCATGTGATACTACTGTACATGTTAGCAGTATGTGTTACTTTACTGTACATGTTAGCAGCATGTGATACTTTACTGTACATGTTAGCAGCATGTGTTACTTTACTGTACATGTTAGCAGCATGTGTTACTACTGTACATGTTAGCAGTATGTGATACTACTGTACATGTTAGCAGCATGTGTTACTTTACTGTACATGTTAGCAGTATGTGATACTACTGTACATATTAGCAGCCTGTGATACTACTGTACATGTTAGCAGTATGTGATACTACTGTACATGTTAGCATCATGTGTTACTACTGTACATGTTAGCAGTATGTGATACTACTGTACATGTTAGCAGTATGTGATACTACTGTACATGTTAGCAGCATGTGTTACTACTGTACATGTTAGCTGCATGTGATACTACTGAACATGTTAGCAGCAAGTGTTACTACTGTACATGTTAGCAGCCTGTGATACTACTGTACATGTTAGCAGCCTGTGTTACTACTGTACATGTTAGCAGCCTGTGATACTACTGTACATGTTAGCAGTATGTGATACTACTGTACATGTTAGCAGCCTGTGTTACTACTGTACATGTTAGCAGCATGTGATACTACTGTACATATTAGCAGTATGTGATACTACTGTACATGTTAGCAGCCTGTGATACTACTGTACATGTTAGCAGCATGTGTTACTTTACTGTACATGTTAGCAGCATGTGATACTTTACTGTACATGTTAGCAGCATGTGATACTACTGTACATGTTAGCATCATGTGTTACTACTGTACATGTTAGCAGCATGTGATACTACTGTACATGTTAGCATCATGTGTTACTACTGTACATGTTAGCAGTATGTGATACTACTGTACATGTTAGCAGCATGTGTTACTACTGTACATGTTAGCGTCATGTGATACTACTGTACATGTTAGCAGCATGTGATACTACTGTACATGTTAGCAGTATGTGATACTACTGTACATGTTAGCAGCATGTGATACTACTGTACATGTTATCAGCATGTGATACTACTGTACATGTTAGCATCATGTGTTACTACTGTACATGTTAGCAGTATGTGATACTACTGTACATGTTAGCAGCATGTGTTACTACTGTACATGTTAGCGTCATGTGATACTATGGTACATGTTAGCAGCATGTGATACTACTGTACATGTTAGCAGTATGTGATACTACTGTACATGTTAGCAGTATGTGTTACTTTACTGTACATGTTAGCAGTATGTGATACTACTGTACATATTAGCAGTATGTGATACTACTGTACATGTTAGCAGCATGTGATACTACTGTACATGTTAGCAGCATGTGATACTACTGTACATGTTAGCAGCATGTGATACTACTGTACATGTTAGCAGCATGTGATACTACTGTACATGTTAGCAGCATGTGATACTACTGTACATGTTAGCAGCATGTGATACTACTGTACATGTTAGCAGTATGTGATACTACTGTACATATTAGCAGTATGTGATACTTGACTGTACATGTTAGCAGCCTGTGTTACTTTACTGTACATGTTAGCAGTATGTGATACTACTGTACATGTTAGCAGCATGTGATACTACTGTACATGTTAGCAGTATGTGATACTACTGTACATATTAGCAGTATGTGATACTTGACTGTACATGTTAGCAGCATGTGTTACTTTACTGTACATGTTAGCAGTATGTGTTACTTTACTGTACATGTTAGCAGTATGTGATACTACTGTACATGTTAGCAGCATGTGATACTACTGTACATGTTAGCAGAATGTGTTACTACTGTACATGTTAGCAGTATGTGTTACTTTACTGTACATGTTAGCAGCATGTGATACTTTACTGTACATGTTAGCAGCATGTGTTACTTTACTGTACATGTTAGCAGTATGTGATACTACTGTACATGTTAGCAGTATGTGATACTACTGTACATGTTAGCAGCATGTGTTACTTTACTGTACATGTTAGCAGTATGTGATACTACTGTACATATTAGCAGCATGTGATACTACTGTACATGTTAGCAGCATGTGATACTACTGTACATGTTAGCAGCATGTGATACTACTGTACATGTTAGCAGTATGTGATACTACTGTACTGTTAGCAGCCTGTGTTACTACTGTACATGTTAGCAGCATGTGATACTACTGTACATGTTAGCAGCATGTGATACTACTGTACATGTTAGCAGCATGTGATACTACTGTACATGTTAGCAGCATGTGATACTACTGTACATGTTAGCAGCATGTGATACTACTGTACATGTTAGCAGTATGTGATACTACTGTACATGTTAGCAGCCTGTGTTACTACTGTACATGTTAGCAGCATGTGATACTACTGTACATGTTAGCAGCATGTGATACTACTGTACATGTTAGCAGCATGTGATACTACTGTACATGTTAGCAGCATGTGATACTACTGTACATGTTAGCAGCATGTGATACTACTGTACATGTTAGCAGTATGTGATACTACTGTACATGTTAGCAGCATGTGATACTACTGTACATGTTAGCAGCATGTGATACTACTGTACATGTTAGCGTCATGTGATACTACTGTACATGTTAGCAGTATGTGATACTACTGTACATGTTAGCGTCATGTGATACTACTGTACATGTTAGCAGTATGTGATACTACTGTACATGTTAGCAGTACATGCCCCCTAGTCCCAGATCTGACAGGCTTTAATCAAATGCATGGTTCTCAGAACGCCTGATGTCCTCAGCCCACGCTTCACTCACTTCACTTCCTCTTGGACATAAGTCAGTGTAATGAAGAGACTGTATTTGCAGAGCTGCATTGTAACTTGATTTGCTGTGGAAACAAATGTGGCTGGTGATGTTCACACTGACCTTCAGTGTGACTGTTTCCCAGACGTGAAAGTGATCCATGCCTCTCTGAGACCTGCAGTCGAGTGTGCACCATGTAATGTGTGGCCCTTCTGAATGCCACATTGATTATGGGATTACCAGAGGGTTAGCAGGCCACAATCTTCTTTTCAACGACAACACTCGGCTGCAACTTATGCCTTCCTTCATTGTAAACATGTTCTGTGTGTTTTTGTAATAATGACCGAACTAAATGTGTGTTCACCAATCCTGGGCTTCTTTAGAAGGGCTGAAAGGTCAAAATCCAATTTGGCATCGTTTGGAGCTGGAGACATTTTGTGTGTAATCACTTATTACTATTATTATTATTATTAATTCTTGCCTCTGAAGTTAGACTTGCTTCCTTATTACGCTAAAGCGAGATCATCCTTTACTTGCGTCTTTATTGTTATCTTGTGTTGTGTGCTCCTCATTCCTACTGTTCTGTAACCGGTGATGCAACACTGACATTTCCTCACTTTGAGACGAATAAAGAATCTTAAGTCACAATACTTTAGTCTTTAATCATGACAATATGGTAGTATTTATTGTCTTATAACAGTAAACATTTGGATCCTTTGTAATCCAAAAACTAAACTTCCTATATTTAAAGCTGCCACAAATGACTATAAAATGATTTGTATATAGTTCCACACACACACACACACACACACGCACACACACACTCAGGGGTCCCATGGGCGCAGCTGCACAAGCCTTTGTCCTCTGAATACATAAACAGCGTTGTCCCTTCTCCTCAGGGCGCCGCGCGGAGAGAAACTACAGCCAATACAAAGTGACATCTCTGCCTCTTTAGCGCACATAGAGAGCGGAGATTCCAGTGCTGTGGGGACTGTGTAAACGGACTTAAAGTGGAGTGTTGTTGACCTATAACGTGCATGTGCAGACCTCTGATAACACAGAGAGAATTGGTACAGATAAGGACACACACACGCCCACAGAGCGTTATAAAACATAGTAATAGCCATGATATAGAGCAGATGTTGAGGACAAAGCCAGTGTCTGTGCAACTCTTCATTCATTAAGACGTGACAGCTCCAGCTTATTACACGGCCGGGGTCACTTGCACCTGCGCTCCCTCCACCATAGGGGCTGCACCTCGCCAAATAAGGGCATATAGGAGAGCGCGCAGGGGGTGACGTTGTGCGTGACAAAAGGCAGTGAAATTGGCGTTTACTACAGTAGTCATAAACCTGAAGGGGATTCGAGTTCATTTGGTTACATAAGAATAAGCAGTAAGGAAGAGGGAGAAGCTATACTGAATGCTAATCCGCTCTGCTCTCCCGCCTGCAGAGAGGAGCACTTGTGGCTCTGTACTTGTCCAGGAGCAGGCGCAGACTTTTTTCTTTTTTTTTTTAACGAACAAACCAGACAGACATACTCCGGGTTCACAGCGAGATGAAAAGATTCGTTAGTGCGTATCGTTCTGTCAGAGGATCTGGCACAGCGGAGAGACCGTGCTGACGCGCTACTATACGCACCACCCCGTACGGACGGACGGACGGACGCAGACAGGAGCGCACACACACAGACACACACACTGCACCTCCTCACTCCTCACTCCACTCTCCAGTCTCTGCTCTTTCGTCTGCTCCGTGGACAGGACACGCCAGTCACCCTCCAGTCTCTCATCCTGATCGCAGAGGACGTGGTATACCCCCCACCCCTCCAAAAAAAAAAAAGACAGAAGACATCCACGGCTCGCGTCTTCCCTCCCTTCCCCGCAGAGATGGAGGTCCCAGGTCTGGCGCACAACCTCAGCAGCCCGCTAAGTCCGTGCGAGGGCATGATCAAGGACCTCAGCTTGGATTCCATTCAGCTCTGCGAACGAGACGGTAGGACCAGACTCAGGTTCTCCCCCTCCCCACACACAACCACATACATGTGTCCAAACGCATACATGTGTCTCTGTCATTCACGTGGAAAAGCCGCATTCTTTTAGGCCGCTGTGTAGCTGTAGAGAGAGATGCAGTCATACGGGTTTGTCATTGGCTCTATAGCTGCACGTTGCACTTTATAAAGAAGAAAGCCAGGGCTGGAGGGATGCTGCTCCAACGTGGGGACTAGAATGCAAAATGAGCAACGTGGACTTTAACATTGCCCAGTCATCTCATCCCTGCACCTGCATTTTCAATTCAACGTGTGCTGTGCAGTCATACGTGTATAGGTAATAGGTAATACAATACTCACGTTACATTACATTACATGTCAGCACCGGCGACGTGGACAGAAATACTGCATGGATTTGAGAAATAAAAAAATAAAATAACACACACACACAGGGAGAACTGAGATATGATCCCCGTTTGTAAACTTTAACCTTGTGCTTGGCATTGCTTACACAGCGTATGCAGACAAGGCAGATGTATGTGCTCATTCATTTCAGATTTGGATAGAGGGGGGAAAAAAAAGGCAAGTCATGATGCTGGGAGAGATGGCTGCAGGATCCACATGTACACAGGGAGCCTCCACACGCCCATCACTGCAATTACATGCCTCTCATTCAGCCACATCTGAGCCCAGCCTCTTAATTAGGCGCAGGCTTTAATTTATTCTCCCTGATATGAGCTTGTCACGCCTGTCTGGCTCCAATGGACGAGTTATAGTGTTTTATTGTGGCTGCCGCTGGTGACCGGTCAGGACTGGTTGGGTGGATGGTCAGTGGTGAGTTGTTTTTTTTTTTTTGTTTTTTTAATCAAGCGGCTTTAACAGAGTGGTCATTGTGCCTTTTGAGAGAGGTTGTAATGCTATACATGTGGGTTTGCTATTACAGGCTGCACAGAGCAAAACAGTTGAAATAGTTCTTGTGATTATTTCTGATAGAGTCCAGTGTGTAACATTCACACCACACAAATGGAGCTGTGTCATAAAAGTCACGGCGCTCAGTTTGGTGCTATCACTAGTTTTCACACAAATGTGGTTTTTAGCCTCTGTCACATCTTTAGATCAGCTTTTTCAACCCATCACAGCGACTCACAGGTCAGGTATATGCAAAATATAGCATTGCTGTGCATTGTCGAAATATGGCTATGACTAAAGCAGTTTTAAAAAGTAAAGCAGCCACATAAATAGATAGACAGATAGATATAGACAGACAGATAGACACATAGATAGACACATACCGTAGATAGATAGACACATAGATGGACAGATAGATAGACACATAGATAGATAGACACATAGATGGACAGATAGATAGACACATAGATAGACACATACAGTAGATAGATAGACAAATAGATAGATAGATAACTTTATTGATCACCCGTAAGAGAATTTCAGGTGCCCAGCAGAAGAAACACATCCATACAAACAAATAAAAATCTATTTCTAAAAGTAAAATTGTATATACATACAAGTTTCACTATATGTACATCACTGTATATATACAGTAGTATATCCGCCACATGAAGCAATATGAATATGACATCAGTATATTTATTACAATTGTGTTAACTGAAGTAACTGAAATTGTGTTGCTGAAAGCCTCTCTCCCCTAATGCCAGACTGATTGCTGTGTGTCCACTTAGCTTTGTTGTTGTCTATTGTGCACATTGTGTATTTTTGAAAAGATATTCCAGCGCAGTATCTACTACAATTGGTGAATAAAGTCGAATGAAAGGAATGACTTAGGTTGTGGTGTTGCGTGTTGTATGTGTGTTGTGTTGTATGTGTGTTGTGTTGTATGTTGTATGTGTGGTTTCCAGTGTCTCTCCGTGGCTGGGTCACAGCGTTGGCCTTTTCCAGTGACAACAGACTTCAGTGTGCGGAGGGTCACCACATTACTACTGTGTGTATAGTGCTTGTGTGTCCTTCAGTCGCCCACATGCTCTTGTTTACGGAGAAACAGCCAAGAGGAGACCGTCTGCTCTTTCTCTGACAGGGCGACTGCAGCACAAGGCGGGTGTTTAAACAGACCACAGTGAGGAGAAACGGACCTGAAACTGATCATGCAGCGGGACCCACCATCAATATAACTCCAAACCATGACACAATAAGAAAGTTATTTAGTGTAATGTAAAATTAGGTATATTATCATGTTTTATAAGTATGGAATAATACTGCAAAGCTGGTCATTATAAACAGCATGACTCTAACATACTCTGAATTCAAGAAAATAGATCATTTTAATAATCATGAAATAACTATTTGTCAAAGAAATCTGACAATGAGGAAAGGTATGCATATCATTTTAAGTGAGTGTAATTTTCAGAGTATTGTTTTCTTGTCTTATTTTAAGTATTAAAAACATGACACACTCTTATTGGCATTATAAAGGCATTACTATTACAAATCCAACTTCAGGTTTTCCAATGGGGGTTTACTGAAAAAGTAAACTTCTGTTGTCAGAATCTTCCTCCAGTGACAAAGCACTGATTACTGATGCAATCCATCTGCTGGAGTTCAGCTAGAAACAGAACTTATTCTTTGTATTAGGTATGGATTTCCATCAGCTTTCATTGAAAACATCTGTGTGGTGCTATTCTTTTGTTTACTCTACTTTACACTTTTCAAAGTGTAAAGTGTATTTTGAAAATGTGGAAAAGGCTTGCGACCAACCAAAAAATGATCTTGAACTTTTGGTTTCCTGACCCTCCAGTTGAGGACCACTGTGATGTCCTTGTCATGTTTGAGCATTCCTCTATTTCCCTGGGTTTGATTGCATTCTCAGAGATTACTCATCACGTCCTTTCCTCTGCACAGGTCACCACTATGTTACGATGAAGTGATGAGATGAGTTTTTCAAATATGGAATAATTGTCATTGAACCTGTTGCTATTATACTAACACTCCCAGATTTATGAAACTACTAGAACCAGAGCCGTCATTTTGACTGCTCACTTTCAAATCAATTGAATTCTGAGAGATGTTCCCCTCAAATGTATAGTTTTCCACCAGATTATTAAAAGTCACTTTTAGTAGGTGCTAAAACTGGTAACAGCATAAGAGTTTGTTGAAAAGCTAATGCTAGCGGCCAAAGGCTAATTTCTGGCAGGAATGAGTTTTTAAATCATCATTGCAGCATCTATTATACACATGTAAAATACAGATTTATACAGTGCAATGATGTCTGTTGACAGCATCTGTGTTGCAGTAAATGCTTCTGCAGAAGTCTGAAGCATATGGTTCGTTTAGGCAACTGTTTATCCAAGTCCATTCAATGACAGGGAACAGAACCAGCTCCAAGTTTTAATTTACTGTAACGAGGTCTTTTGAATGCGGTCCAACCTGACATGACGCCATATGGCTGTTGTTTGTGCAAGTTTCAAGCCTTGATCATGATGGAGAATAAGTAGTGATTTTATTATAACGGGAAATATCAACACAAAGGAATATTCCAACTGTTGTCAAACTTTTCAGTCGGAGGTTAATCATTTCAAGTGTCTCAACCTGATGCAGACATTGGAGTGTGGTTTATGTGAGTCGTTGTGTTATGTGTGTGGGTTGTGTTAAGATAGAGCAGTGGGTCTCCAACCTGTAGCTCGCCACCCCTTTCCAAGTAGCTCGCCAAAGGATTTAGAAATGAACAAATTAAATAATATACTTATTATTTTTAATGCACTTACTTTGTGCACTAGTAACAAATATGCAATGATAATGAATTTACCCAATATTATGCTTGTTCACTCCAATACATCATACATTTTTTCCCAGTAGTTCTCTGCCTTTATCGTCCCGGGGAAATAGCTCTCTGCGTGAAAACGGTTGGAGACACCTGAGATAGACTTGTTCTTGAAAACATTCTTTAAACAATGTAAACCACAACATGCTCATCATCAAGATAAATAGTAGTGTGGTTTTAGTGAGTCAGCTGTTATTTAAATTAGTTTTGTGTCTGATAATTGTCTTAGAATCATCTCACGCTCCCTAGCATTGGTGTCTTGCACAAAAATATCAAAATATTGATGTATCTATTTGAAGAGGAATTATGCAGGTTCCTGAATATTTCTGTAAATGTTCCAGTTTTAGTTACAAAGATATTTTTCGACTGTATTCCCAGGGAGAGGTGTGGGATGTCAGCAGAAGGCTTACACACTAGTTACGCACTCTGAGTGGTCTAATGAAATGGTCACAATCACAATCACACTGTTGTTGCCAGGATCTCGCTGTATGTGACCCATGAAGCTCCTGATTACTAGTGCAATCCACCTGCTGGGGTTTAGCTAGAAACGGTACAAGCTCTGTGTGTTACATATGACTACTTGTTTTGTACCCGCTTCTATTCAAACAGATGTGTGGTGCTATTATTTTGTTTGTGAAGTTATTACATAAAAGGATAGAGCTAAGACCTGCTAAACTTCACCTAACCATGTTTTAAGTGAGGTTTTTTAAGCACTTTGAGTTGCCTTGTGTATGAACTGTGCTATACAAATAACCTTGCCCTGCCTTGTCTAACATACTGACAACCCATATGAGAGACTAAATTAAACATCACTTCCATTGTGTTTAAGAAAAACTTAAATATTCAGAAAAGGTCAAATGGGATGTGCACATGGGACACATGTACGAGATCAGGATGTAATTTATAATTTAAAAAAAACACTAGATATAAACAAATATTACAATTTAGATTTTTTTAATTATCTCTATACAGTATAATCATATTACTCTAACAGCGTGACTATACCACATTATTAAATCGTTTTACACATTTCATTGTTAATGTTTACACTATATTGAGTAGAATTATCTTGACACTGACCAAAGAGCACATTTCAGAGCAATTCAGCTCTATAGGAGTCACTGCTGTTTTACTGAGTGGGGACCCTTTTAAGACAATACAAATGGAAAAGGTTAGACTACTGGATGTGAATGTATAGATTTGGACAATCGT